TCCATCTACCACAGCGAAACGTCCACTTCGGCCGAAGTTCGCTCTCAGGCTTCCGAATCAACCGGTTCTCCCTCTGTTATACAGGAAGACTCGATAACCGCGGTACAAGCGGGCCCTTCGGTTCCAAGACCGTTGGCAGTGTCTTTGAGCGCCAGGCAGCTACTGAATCAACGGTTACAGAAGTACAAGCTGCCTGCCATGTTTCGAGCCGATCCTGTAGGACCAGCAGACAACCAGCGGTGGAAGGGAACTTTTTGGATAAAAGATACTCTAATCGGAGCATCCAAATTGGAAAGGTCCAAAGCCCAAGCCAAAGAAGGAGCAGCTCTTTCTGCAATTAAATGGATGAATACCCACCACTACTATTAAAGGATATTCCAAAAGGCCCTCCAGGCCATTCATACTCTTCTCTTTTGCTATGGGGACAAGGCTTCATTCTCTATGGCCGTCGTACCCTTCATAATGGTATACAAGAGCCATCCTCATCCCACAAAAATTCCGATGTCTGACAAAGACCATCCATTGACATCCCAATCCCTTTCGCGTCTCCATCTATTTATTTCCGCTTTTTATATCTCGCAGATATGGATCTTATGGACTTACTAATTTGTTTATATTCATGTTATTTCTTCGCATACGAAGGTGGTTGTTCAGTAAAGGGAATATGATCACACGCTCCGTGATGGGACTACTAGTCCTGTTTCAACCGTGTCCGTGAAACGCGAAGGCACAAGTATCTTTGAGAAGAGCTGGTTGGACACGCGGATCATGAATGCGGATCCGTTGGGGTGAATTAAATAGGGACGGATGCGACTAGCGTAGTGATCTATATTAGCAACGTTTCGGCTTGCTAACTCGAAGTTCGCGGGAGAAACTTAATAAGCGAACAATGAACCCCGTGGGTAACGTAGCGGCATACGAAGCGATTATCATTCTGCCCGCCTTTGTCTTCTCCATGTCGACTTGTATGCAGCGTTGCCGAGATCGAGAACTAGTCAAAGGGGGAGAATCAGGCAGCTAAGATAAGAGGTACCAAGGTCTAAAAGCTGGTCATCTTCTGTCTGTGATAGATAGCTGGATCTTTGTAATATACCGCGCACCACGGAAGTTATCTTGAGATATATTGAATCCGACCAAAGAAAGTTATATTTTCTGCGTGGGGTGGCGGTCCGCACCGCATCAGACGCCTGCGCAAACATGGGCCGTTAGAGTTTAATTAAGCCCGATTATCTAGGCATGGTGGACTGACACTGACGTCGCCAGTCCTCGAGGATATCCAGCCTTGGCCTTGAGGCAGGCGACGATGAGAGGCGTGGGGCTAAGTTGAAGGAGAGATCGGACTCATAATGAGCTAGTTTAAAGACCTTGAGTATATTGAGATGTCTCTGTACCTATAACGTGAGAATTGCGGGCAATGGCCGGTGTTCGGTTGACCCGGTAGCGGGCATTTCCGCAGAGGTTACATACATGCACATTGTGACACAAAAAATTAGTAATCAATTCAGTACTCTTCAAACCCCTCGAGTTGTGGGTAACTCCGGAGCTGCCTTTAGCTAGCTTCCGGTCGGTTAGCTGGACATGTGTAGTCGCCGGGAGATTTCTTAGTTACCATGGCACAGTAGAAATGGATTATTTGAGTATATCTCTATTATGGCCAATGTAGGTGCCGCTATTTGGCATATGGTAACCATAGAGTTTTTCAATTACGACCAGCTCGCCATACATAGCCAAGCACGCTTATTGCTTGGTTTGCCAGATATGGATATACTATTCTGTGTACAAGTGACATGGATTCCCATAATTCGGTTCAAAGTGGTCTGAGT